ACCTGCAAATAGAAATAGAACAACTGCGGCAAAAGAAAGCAAAGATAGTACCAATAGCAATAGGTGCCTTGGGTGCAATCCCAAAACATTTGGAACACCACTTGAAGACCGTCAGCAATGACAGAAGCACCACCAAAAGGCAGCTTAACTTGGAACATCTTATATCCTGCAACAATACTTTTAACACCTTCAAATAACAACATCTCCCTATCCCAGGTCCTTGGGAAGGATTCAACAGGTGGATAAAAATGCAAGTCCAGTCTAAACATCTGGCTGATTGCATGACCAACAATAAGAATGACTGTGGCTAAACAAAGTGAAGAAGAAAGACAAAAAAGTCTCGATAGTGGACATTGCAATATCTGGAGACAGCAGAAGAGAAGAGAAAGAACTGGAAGAAATCACAAAACGTAAAGACCTGCAAATAGAAGTAGAATGACTGTGGCAAAAGAAAGCAAAGATAGTACCAAGAGTAATAGATGCAATCCCAAAACATCTGGAGCACCCCTTGAAGACCATCCGCATTGACCAAAATTACCATCAGTCAATTGCAAAAGGCAGCTTTACTTGGAACAGCTTCTATCCTGTGACGATACCTTTAACACCATCAAACTACCACATCTGCATATCCCAGGTCCTTGGGAAGGACTTGATAGGTGGACAAAAATGCCAAATCCAGTCTAAACATCTGGCTGACTGTGCAACCAACCATAATAATCCAAATGAGAAGATAGTCTAGAAACAGGATGGTGTGGATGTCTTTGAATAAGAGATAGAAGAAGATGTTCTCACCATGCAGGGAGGTAACTAGCTTGGAAATTCAGCAATCATTACATAACATTATGGAAGTGAGAGCTTTGAACGAATGGGACTGAGATGGAGGAACCGAAGGGGATAGATATTCAAAACAGAAGTGCCTCTGGGTACCTCCTCATATAGCCTATCTCCTGTGCTCAGTAGGAGGGTCTGCCCTTTGATTCTTTGCCAGCGACCTCTACTTTGTATAATGCCTTGAAGCGCTCAACATAGCATTGTTCCCAAAGAATTATGGGAAATTTGAAATGGTGAATCATTTTCTTTTTATGAAGTAATCATTTCCAACCATGCTATGGACAGCTTATGAACATGCCCTAGGCTCTTTCAACTGATCTGTCATTAATAGCCATTTTCTATTTCATAATCTACAGACTGGACAGAAAAGAAAAAAAAGGGGAGGGGGGAAGGAGAGAGAAAGAAGATATCGAGACAGAGGTGCCGTGAAAGCTTCTAAATCTGCCCCACGCTGCTCTAGTTCTTTCACATAATTGTCTGAGAAAACTTCCATCAGTTTCTGTAATTAAACTAATGGTCTAAATGAATTTCCAGATCACTAGCTATTCATTTTGATATGTCATTACACTGAGTTCAATTAATAGGAAGGAAGTTTACAGCCCATTGTGTCCTTCAAATGCTATTCTATTTCATCGGTTTTAATTAGCAATATTCACTTGGTCACCACCTCCTCCTTCTCACCCGTTCAGGCCACACTCACTCATTGGATGGGCCCACTCTCGGATGTTGGTGTTCTTTGTTGTTTAGCCTTCAAATAAATAGAAGGAAACATTAGGTAATTAGCACCTCAACACATCCTTCACACAAAGTTTGTGGGGCCCAATCCAGTCCTTTTATTGCAATTGGCACTATTACCTACTACATATGTGGCCGTCTAGAATTCTACGTATGTTTCAAGAGGGAGGGAGGGAGGGAGGGAGGGAG